ATTTTATCAACTCCTTTAGAACTTACCTTTGTTGAAATATTCACAATCATATGCTACAAAAAAAAAAAAAAAAAAAAAAAAAAAAAAAAAAAAAAAAAAAAAAAAAAAAAAAAAAAAAAGAAAAGAAAAGAAAAGAAATGCAATTAACAGGCATTCTACAGATAAACTGGTTTTCTGTTACCCTTTATGATTGAGATGTAAGCCAAATGCTTGGCCAAATTAGATCATACACAAACATTTATTAAAAAATTATTGCCAAATATTTACTTCATTGCTTTAGGTAAAATACTAAGTTAAACTACACTAATTAAATACTTAATTAATATTTAAACTACTACCAGATTTAAAGAAAGCATTGCTTCTTAGCAGGAAATAATAAGCTTACAGTTGTCTTTTTGTGACCTCTAGTGGCTAAGGCTGAACTTCGTTGTTTTTCCATGCTACCACTAAAACACACAAACCTTTTCTATCAAAATTTAAGAGTAATCCCTTCCATCTGCAGCCAATTTGCTGTGTGACTCTGAGCAAGCTGCATACTCTCTGTGTGACTGCAAAGTTAGGAAACTGCTTGTTTCTTCCTAGTCTTTATATCCTGCCCTTTTTTATCACATCTTTGGAAAACTACTGTATTAGGTGTTTCCACCAGGGGCCAGAGAAAAAGGCCTTAGACTGTTTTTCAACTTCTAAGCATTGTTGGATAACAATACTAAGGTAAAGCTTAAAACCTATTGTTTTTCTTCAGAAGTCTTTTATACTTCACACTTGATCTGGGGGATCTAGTAAGGCAGCTATGTTTCCTAAACCTTAATAAGAAATAAAGTCCTGCCTTCTGAAAACAGAAATCACCTGAGCTGTTAAATTTGTACCTTTGGTTTGGGGGATGCATGCTGTACCCTAACATAAACGTCCCATTATTTTCCTTTCACATCATAGGGCAAGGAATTAAAAAGAGAAAAGAACCGCTCTCAAATACAGCAAGAAGAACATAATTGACCAAAATGAAACCAGAGTGAGAGGCACCAACTCATCTTCCTACCAGTGTGGCTTAGTGATTCAATTCCTGGCCCAGGTACCCTGATGCGATTGATTTTTCACGTCTGTCTCTCATGCATGCAGGGCAATGCTGGTTTAAGTAAACTTACGACACACTCTAGGAGACCTCCAGTCTACTGCAACTCCATGCTGGCAGCACTGATGGGCATATGCTGATACACTTGTACAGAAACACTCACAGTCACCTCCTTGGTTACAACCACATGTATCTGTCAAGCAGTTGGAATAAAACCAGGTGACGTCGATCTGAAAACAAAAATATCACTTGTCAAAAATACTCCTATAAACACTGCCAACCAACACCTCAATACAAAGCTATGACTCTTTCAGAAGTTAATATATCGAACTTGGAAGTAATAAACATTTTACTTTAAACGCTTCCTGACAGACAAGAAGAAAGGCTCACATCATCTTGTCCAGCACTTTAGAATTAAATCAATAAGCCATTAAGAACAGGCAAGCTAAGATGTTGATGTGAGCTTGTGTTTTGTATGGTTTTGTAATATTTAAGCCCTAACAGACTACAGAGAAACTTATGAAATAACAGACTTTCTAAGCTGATCACACATCAATAAACCTCAAAAGTGTCGAGAAAGTTAGATACACATAAGATGTAAGAAATAATAAAGTAGATGGACAACTCTTTATGTGAAGGTGGTTCATTCTCTTCATATTATCAGACAATTTCACAAAAGAATTTGTCATTTTGCCCTTACAGTATTTTCCAGCTTTTAAGCCATGCACACTGTCTCAATACCTGAACATCTTGAGGAAAATAAGACAAATAATAATGCTTGCAATTAAAAAAACAAAACAAAAACAAACAAAAAACCCAAACAAAACAAACAAACAAACAAACAAAAAAAACCACCAAAAACACCAACTCAAAATGGGGGTATTTTTGTCTGCATTACTTACAAAGCAGACTACTAGGACTACCCAAACCCATACTAAATTGGTGCCAAAGTCACTTCCTATCTACATCAGCTAAGTGCAGGCAGTCTAGTTAGACATTCACATTTTAGAATCAGAATAAGTATGGGTTAGACCTTCTTTGTGTTCTCTTTTGCTAGTCAAAATTATTATGTCATGGAAGACAAGATGAATGAAGATTTCAAGTGCTTCAAGTTTAAAAGTAACATTTTTCTCTACTGATATGTTCACTTTCACTTGTTTCTATACATGACCACAACTCACCACTGGATGGCAAGCTTCAAATGCTTCACTTAATAGTATTCCACACTCCTTCTTGGCAAATGGCTCTCTAAGGGGATTCAAACTGCATGGATTTCGAATATCAGAGCTGTCAACACACTGAAGCAGAAAGCGAAATTAAGGTGAGAAACTTTTTTCAGAACCACTTTGTGTTTGAACTTGTAAAACATAGTTCTGTGGCTTTTTTAAGAGAGGTAAACCATGAAACAAATGTGTTGCTTATGAAACTAAAGCAGGACTAAGATATAGAATTACAAAGTGATGCTAATATGAAGAAAAGGAAAATTACACAAGCTGAAAAATCATTTTGTTTATCTGAAAGTAGCAGAAAAGCACACATGTACCTATAGGTCCAACCAGAGCAATCTGCAGCCCTTACACCTGAGCAGTCTCACTTACATAAATAGTACGGAGCACTTGGACAACATACATTAGAAGTGTCAGAAATCAGATATTTTTACTCTAACTACTAGGAAGGGACATTTCTATGAACACCACTAGACACATGGCATTAAAAAAAAAAAAGTTCAGTGTTTAACTTTACAGCACATGGAAAGAATTTTTTTCTTTCCATTGCTAGGGCTGCAGAGTTAAATATTCCCCAGCTATGACAGATCAGCTAAACTGACAACATAGTCTAAAGTGAACCTACAATTCTTCTATTATGCAAAAAAAATACTACGTTATGGTCCAAATGTCTTCCAAAATGTTCAGAATTTTTCAGCATTTTTTTCTAAACTATTGCACTGTGTAGGCAAAAAAAGGGGATTATTTTCTTTTCCTTAACAGATTATGGCATCTGTAACAACCCCTGATATTGTCATCTGCATTGCTGCCTGACTGATACTTCCATGAATGAATTTCTGCTTTCATTCTAGATAAATTATACAACACAACAGCAACAAATCTACCAGCAAACACATTCTTGTTACTATGTACCTCTACAGCTGTCCAGCTGTTTCCAAACTCTTGTGAGTTTGTTAATTCAAAATTATCTGGAGTCCTCAATTCATTTACTGTCTTCAAATCAAAATTTCCACATAATCCAGTCAATTCACCCTGGTAAAAAAAAAATACACACACACATAAATACATATATAAAAACAATTTTTATTTTTATTCAATAAAATGCTACCACCCATAACAACTTTCAAAACTTTTGTCTCCAGTTACTTAATTATAGATTTGTCAGGTTTTGATCCTTCCTCAGCTAAATTTCAGTCAAAACAATTTAACTTTTTGTGATAATAAAGCTATGGAGAATATTTTTATTTTGACAATGCCCATAATATTCCCTTTCAACTATGTATCCTCAAGGCTTTAAAAAAGCAGCTGATCTTTTGTTCAGAGAAGTGAGCTGTTAGCCACTTATGTGCTTTTCTTTTGCTTCAGCAAAATAACACCTACTCCAGTCATGTAAGGAATGAGTACTGAAGCAGAATTTTCCCCCAAAGGTATTTGTTTCTTTTGTTACAGTAGCTGCACAGTAAAGAGTAACTAAAAAAAAAAAAAAAAAAAAAAAAAAAAAAAAAAAAAAAAAAAAAAAAAAAAAAAAAACAAAAAAAAAAAAAAAAAAAAAAAAAAAAAAAAAAAAAAAAAAAAAAAAAAAAAAAAAAAAAAAAAAAAAAAAAAAAAAAAAAGAAATGCAATTAACAGGCATTCTGCAGATAAACTGGTTTTCTGTTACCCTTTATGATTGAGATGTAAGCCAAATGCTTGGCCAAATTAGATCATACACAAACATTTATTAAAAAATTATTGCCAAATATTTACTTCATTGCTTTAGGTAAAATACTAAGTTAAACTACACTAATTAAATACTTAATTAATATTTAAACTACTACCAGATTTAAAGAAAGCATTGCCTCTTAGCAGGAAATAATAAGCTTACAGTTGTCTTTTTGTGACCTCTAGTGGCTAAAGCTGAACTTCGTTGTGTTTCCATGCTCCCACTAAAACACACAAACCTTTTCTATCAAAATTTAAGAGTAATCCCTTCCATCTGCGGCCAATTTGCTGTGTGACTCTGAGCAAGCTGCATACTCTCTCTCTGTGTGACTGCAAAGTTAGGAAACTGCTTGTTTCTTCCTAGTCTTTATATCTTGCCCTTTTTTATCACATCTTTGGGAAACTACTGTATTAGGTGTTTCCACCAGGGGCCAGAGAAAAAGGCCTTAGATTGTTTTTCAACTTCTAAGCATTGTTGGATAACGATACTAAGGTAAAGCTTAAAACCTATTGTTTTTCTTCAGAAGTCTTTTATACTTCACACTTGATCTGGGGGATCTAGTAAGGCAGCTATGTTTCCTAAACCTTAATAAGAAATAAAGTCCTGCTGAAAACAGAAATCACCTGAGCTGATAACTTTGTACCTTTGGTTTGGGGGATGCATGCTGCACCCTAACATAAACGTCCCATTATTTTCCTTTCACATCATAGGGCAAGGAATTAAAAAGAGAAAAGAACCGCTCTCAAATACAGCAAGAAGAACATAATTGACCAAAATGAAACCAGAGTGAGAGGCACCAACTCATCTTCCTACCAGTGTGGCTTAGTGATTCAATTCCTGGCCCAGGTACCCTGATGTGATTGATTTTTCACGTCTGTCTCTCATGCATGCAGGGCAATGCTGGTTTAAGTAAACTTACGACACACTCTAGGAGACCTCCAGTCTACTGCAACTCCATGCTGGCAGCACTGATGGGCATATGCTGATACACTTGTACAGAAACACTCACAGTCACCTCCTTGGTTACAACCACATGTATCTGTCAAGCAGTTGGAATAAAACCAGGTGACGTCGATCTGAAAACAAAAATATCACTTGTCAAAAATATTCATATAAACACTGCCAACCAACACCTCAATACAAAGCTATGACTCTTTCAGAAGTTAATATATCGAACTTGGAAGTAATAAACATTTTACTTTAAACGCTTCCTGACAGACAAGAAGAAAGGCTCACATCATCTTGTCCAGCACTTTAGAATTAAATCAATAAGCCATTAAGAACAGGCAAGCTAAGATGTTGGTGTGACTTGTATTTTGTATGGTTTTGTAATATTTAAGCCCTAACAGACTACAGAGAAACTTATGAAATAACAGACTTTCTAAGCTGATCACACATCAATAAACCTCAAAAGTGTCGAGAAAGTTAGATACACATAAGATGTAAGAAATAATAAAGTAGATGGACAACTCTTTATGTGAAGGTGGTTCATTCTCTTCATATTATCAGACAATTTCACAAAAGAATTTGTCATTTTGCCCTTACAGTATTTTCCAGCTTTTAAGCCATGCACACTGTCTCAATACCTGAACATCTTGAGGAAAATAAGACAAATAATAATGCTTGCAATTAAAAAAACAAAACAAAACAAAAACAAACAAAAAACCCAAACAAAACAAACAAACAAACAAACAAACAAAACCATCAAAAACACCAACTCAAAATGGGGGTATTTTTGTCTGCATTACTTACAAAGCAGACTACTAGGACTACCCAAACCCATACTAAATTGGTGCCAAAGTCACTTCCTATCTACATCAGCTAAGTGCAGGCAGTCTAGTTAGACATTCACATTTTAGAATCAGAATAAGTATGGGTTAGACCTTCTTTGTGTTCTCTTTTGCTAGTCAAAATTATTATGTCATGGAAGACAAGATGAATGAAGATTTCAAGTGCTTCAAGTTTAAAAGTAACATTTTTCTCTACTGATATGTTCACTTTCACTTGTTTCTATACATGACCACAACTCACCACTGGATGGCAAGCTTCAAATGCTTCACTTAATAGTATTCCACACTCCTTCTTGGCAAATGGCTCTCTAAAGGGATTCAAACTGCATGGATTTCGAATATCAGAGCTGTCAACACACTGAAGCAGAAAGCAAAATTAAGGTGAGAAACTTTTTTCAGAACCACTTTGTGTTTGAACTTGTAAAACATAGTTCTGTGGCTTTTTTTTTTTAAGAGAGGTAAACAATGAAACAAATGTGTTGCTTATGAAACTAAAGCAAGACTAAGATATAGAATTACAAGGTGATGCTAATATGAAGAAAAGGAAAATTACACAAGCTGAAAAATCATTTTGTTTATCTGAAAGTAGCAGAAAAGCACACATGTACCTATAGGTCCAACCAGAGCTGCCAGGCAGTCCCAATCTGCAGCCCTTACACCTGAGCAGTCTCACTTACATAAACAGTAAGGAGTACTTGGACAACATACATTAGAAGTGTCAGAAATCAGATATTTTTACTCTAACTATTAGGAAGGGACATTTCTATGAACACCACTAGACACATGGCATAAAAAAAAAAAAAAGTTCAATTTTTAACTTTACAGCACATGGAAAGAATTTTTTTCTTTCCATTGCTAGGGCTGCAGAGTTAAATATTTCCCAGCTATGAAAGATCAGCTAAACTGACAACATAGTCTAAAGTGAACATACAATTCTTCTATTATGCAAAAAAATTACTACTTTACGGTCGAAATGTCTTCCAAAATGTTCAGAATTTTTCAGCATTTTTTTCTAAACTATTGCACTGTGTAGGCAAAAAAGGTGATTATTTTCTTTTCCTTAACAGATTATGGCATCTGTAACAACCCCTGATATTGTCATCTGCATTGCTGCCTGACTGATACCTCCATGAATGAATTTCTGCTTTCATTCTAGATAAATTATACGACACAACAGCAACAAATCTACCAGCACACACATTCTTTTTACTATGTACCTCTACAGCTGTCCAGCTGTTTCCAAACTCTTGTGAGTTTGTTAATTCAAAATTATCTGGAGTCCTCAATTCATTTACTGTCTTCAAATCAAAATTTCCACATAATCCAGTCAATTCACCCTGGTAAAAAAAATACACACACACATAAATACATATATAAAAACATTTTTATTCAATAAAATGCTACCACCCATAACAACTTTCAAAACTTTTGTCTTCAGTTACTTAATTATAGATTTGTCAGGTTTTGATCCTTCCTCTGCTAAATTTCAGTCAAAACAATTTAACTTTTTGTGATAATAAAGCTATGGAGAATATTTTTATTTTGACAATGCTCGTAATATTCCTTTTCAACTATGTATCCTCAAGGCTTTGAGAAAGCAGCTGATCTTTTGTTCAGAGAAGTGAGCTGTTAGCCACTTATGTGCTTTTCTTTTGCTTCAGCAAAATAACACCTACTCCAGTCATGTAAGGAATGAGTACTGAAGCAGAATTTTCCCCCAAAGGTATTTGTTTCTTTTGTTACAGCAGCTGCACAGTAAAGAGTGACTAAAAAAAAAAAAAAATTAAAAAAAAGAGAATTAATATTACAATTGACAAGGTAGTTTGAATGTTTTTCTTCTTGATTTCTGACACATTGTCTAGTCTCTGAATAAAGATGATGTCTAATGTAATAAGATTTGCATAAACACCTCAAAGAAATGACCATAAGCGTTGACTTTCACCTACCTGCCACTGATGACCCATCTGGACATGAACGGTTGTTCTCTGATCCCAAAGAATGGTGATATGTTCATCAGGGAAATGAACAACAGTGAAAAATCCAGCTTTCCATAACTGCATTTTCTGTAGGTCGTCTATGTAACTAGATAAGCTCTGTTCAAAATAAAACAAGGGAGCTTATAATGGAAGCAATGTCTTCATGTTCACTTGGCAGGAAATGAAAAGCCTAAATGAAATAATCTACATGGTTGTCAAACGTAAGTCCAAAAGCAGACAGAAGGCCACATAGGCACAAATGCTCAAGCAAAAGTAGTCTGGGCTTTGATTGTGAACTGTATTGCATTTTTATGACTTTCCTATTTTAAAAGTTGATTATCAAATTTACAGTTACAGGATGGGTAATGGCAATTGGAGTGAAGATTAAAATGTTAATGGTTCACCTGGGAGGTATAAGACTAGTTTTAAGGTTCCTGATTATGATTTTCCCCTCAACTATGCCTAATTCAGTCTCAGCCACAGCCTTTTTTGAATATGGATAGGTAATAAAGGCACTGGAACAACCTCCCACAGTTGTCTAAATATGTCCACAGATTACAATCTTATTTGCAGAAAGCTTTCATCTCTCCATCCAATAACAGTCAGATTCCAACTTATTGTAGCATGGATTAAGATGTCTGGTTTAACTACGCAATATCTCAAACAAAGAGATTCAACTTCCCTTACATAGTCAGTCTATAAACTGTAAACAGTATTATTTATAGTGAAACTACTAGAAATACTAAATGCTTACAGCAATAGAATTTACAGTTTGGCCAAAACAAAAATTACTTTCAGGCTATGGAGGGCTGTATATACCAGGGGCTGTAGTTTGGGGATGGGGGGAGGGGTTAACTATATAGAAATATTCCTCTTATGCATTCCAGACCAGACTAAACTCTTAGTTCTAGTGGAATTAAAAACAAAATTCCCACTGACTTCAAAACACCTGGATTTTTTCTAAGGTATTAAACAGGAATCAAGTCTAAACAAAAGAGCTACAATATCTCAACTAACACTTTTGTCAAATACAGACAAGATTTAAAGTTTCCATTGAACAACACAGATATGATGAGCATTCACGGTAAAGGTATTTACACCTTTGCTTCTAAGGTGGCACAGTAAGTTTGTGGTAATGAAAGGAAGAAACATCTATAGAAGTACACACAACACTTATTCATCAGTGGTAGAAACTGAAACTTACTGGATTTCCTGTTTCATCATCAAATACTAAAAAAGATTTTCCAACGTTAATGAAAATGTTTTTTCTGCAAATGATTCCAGTACTAAAGCAGTCAATATTCTCTATTATAACAGAAAGACTGGTTGCAGAAGTACTCTGGGGAAAAAAAAAAAAAAAAAAAAAAAAAAAACAAATTAAAAAAAAAAAAAAAAAAAAAAAAAAAAAAAAAAAAAAAAAAAAAAAAAAAAAAAAAAAAAAAAAAAAGAAATAGCCACTTTTAAATACACTAATATAAATATATACACACATATATATGTATTTATACAAAGTTCAATCAGCAGAAACCTCAAATTCTAGACAACATCAAAAATGAAAAAACAGTATGTAGGACTCAATAGAATGTACAGAGAGGAAATAAATAGAATGGTAGATTTTAACAGGTAGTTTTAAATCCAGTTTTAGAGAGGCTTTACAAAAAAAAAATCTCACCTTAACTAGGTAAACCTTACAAGTTCCAACAAAGTCAAAAGTTAGTCCATCAAACGTCCTGTAATGCCGGTCCCCATACGCAGTACACATTGATGGGCAAGGATGGAAGGTGCACTGAAATGATCCGTGCTGGCAAATGCTGAAAAATGTATGACCAATAACAGTAACATCAGCTGCAAGCCCAGAAAAATTATTACAGCTATTACACTGAGAAGCAAAAAAATAAAAGCCATGCAAGTGTGATGAGTGTGGACAGAAGCATTCTGAAATGTTGTCTAAAAGCAGCATACATAAATTGATTCTCTGGGGAAAAAAAATACACATATTGAACTCATTCTGTCTATGCTCCTTATTCTGCTAGAATTTATAGGCTCCAGAAAACACAGACATCAAAACAAGAAAAAAAATACCACCCAAAGTAATACAATTTATTCTCCACTGGTACATCAATAATGTGCCACAAAGACAAAGCTTTTTTTTTTTTTTTTCAGCTTTTCACTGAACATTTTTTTCTATACAGGATGAATCCTAGAATAAAAAATTAACATGTCCTGTTATTCCAGCCTTTATGCATTCTCTGCTTGAGTGAGAATTTCACAGAATTACAGAGGAAACGTTTCAGTAACTTTATTTTGGTTTTTAGATTCCTTGAAAAAAACACGTTTTGGGTTGTTGGATTTATTTATTCTTCCTGATGTCTACATATTGTCACCCCCAAATCCTAGTCTAACATCTTAGTGGCTTCCAGGATAGTTCAAGTTCCATCTATGGCCACCTTAAGCATCACAGGGCTTTCATCACACATATACTAAGTGATTGTTCAGACCTTCCTGAATTCCCTTTGCTTTGTAAGAGGCTTTGCAGCATTGGATATTATGCATCTTTCTGCATCACCCTCTTGCAATTCAAATAACATTTTCAGAAACTATGTAAGTTCTATAAATAGTGGATACAATTTTATTTCCTGTATCCACAGGTAACCTCTAAAATGTTATTTTTATGTTTCTAAATGGATACTTTAAAAACTTCTCTTGATAAAGACAGAAGAGCTGGTGTCCCACTATATCTTTACTACAGGTATATTTATAAATATCTATCTTGCATTGGCCTTTTAAGCCATCAGTGTGCTTGTAGCAAGCGTGGGTAGAGTCCTTCCCAAATCTTCGTTCACGAAGCCTAGTCATGATGATTTATAAATCTAGGTTAACCTAAATAAAGCATGTGGTGTAATTATGGTACCTAAGTTTACTTTTCTAAAACAACTGATTTTTAATTTCCTCATTAAATGAATGCTTCATATTTTACACCTAAAGTGTAAATCTGACTTTGGGAAATACTGGGTAAATTTCTAACATTTGGCATCTCCTATGCTGAAGCACCAAGCAGTATGAAGTGTTTTCTCCATGTAACTTTTTATCATTATAGTGTTTCCTTTTCTGGTCATATTGCTATCATAGGGTCAGAACACCACTGTTTTCCAAAGAGCAACAAATACTTGGAAAATCTAGGCAGCTCCAACTACTAATATCATCTTCCTCCTGTCCCCTTATCAGGTAACTTGCACCAAAATGGAAACTTTGTCCAGATTTTTGGAGACTCTGCTTATCCTGTCATCGATTTGGCCCCAGCACTTGTGTTTGTATAGGTACATATATAAAGACACTAAGCACATGGCTAAAATGAGTTAAACTATGATATATGAAGTGCTTGCTGTACCAAAGCATGAGGAGACAGCGGCAGAATTTGTCCAGCTAACCCTAAACCCCTCAAAGTGGTACCTAAGGCAGGAACCTAATCAAGCTGATCAAGAAAGAGGCAGATGGAAGGAATTATATTTGGACTGAAAGACTAAGTGCTGCTTCTCCTCTTCTCTGTGAGACATTAGATTTTAATTTTACTCTTGGCCTATTCAAATCCTCCTCCACATGCCGATCTGTTAAGGACTCATGTGGAAACATTTCTTAAAATGTAAAGAGTAGGGACCTCCCTTTCATAATTCCATTTTTTCAGAGGTCTTAACATGTTTACAGTCAGAAGGAATGGATTTAGAGGCACACAATGTCTTCAAAATCCTCTGCACCAGGCTTGTTTCATACTAAGTGAACTGACGTTCAGTTATCAGAATCTAGAAAGTCCTACTCGGAAAAGCAGAACTATCAGCACCTTCCAAACTTCAATGAGCTTTTTAAAAAATCATATTTCCCAGAAGTATTTAAGAACAGAAGGCCCAATTCAGCATCCCACAGATCCTAACCAGCGGTTGCCCAATGGTCTCAACATATGACAGCAAAGCACCATCCATCTTACCTTGCACAGCACAGCACCAAAACGCTGTGGTACCCTCAGCATTAGAACCTTTTGTGTTAGAACCTTGACAGAGCATGCTAAAAAATTCAGGCAATTGCACAGAAACCAAAATTCGGAAAACCTAGAACCACAGTTCAGTAAGATCCCAGAGCTTGGGCTGAAAGTTCCTGGCACTTCAATGGTAGTTTTGCCAACTTAAGAAATTATTTTATTTACAATTACACTGTTCAAGAGATAAATCAGATTAATAGTTATGTTAATACTACATCATATATGAGTAAGATGATATTTAATATCAATGTATACTAATTCTCTGCACTAAAAACCAATAAATTATAACTGCTATGAGTGCCTAAAGGGGTTTGTTTGCAAAGAAGTATTCTCATACTTTGAACACTTCCCTGAAAATAGCAGATACACTCCTGCATGCACATACAGCAGACTCGAAGACTTCATTTGCTTTGTATGAAGCAGAGCTTGTTGCAGACTCCCATCTGTCAGCAGACAACTGATTGCCAAAAAGCTATTATCACTTAATCTATCTTTGCTTCTGGACATGGAAGACTAGAAAAACCATGACAGCCTCAAAGATCTGTACATGAATTAATGAGCCTGGCCTGAGGAAAAAAAAAAAAAAAAAAAAAAGAGAGAGAGAAGGCTAAATATCCAGTGTCTTTCTGCCTGCACTGCACTGCAGCTGCCTTTGGTGAAGTCTCGTACAGATTAAATGGGATATAATAAATTCTTTCTGATGCAAGCAATCCCACACCAGGTCCAAATGGAGAGGCCTTTGGAAATAAGGGGGTGAACAACCCGGTCGCTTTACCTGCCTGCCCAGTGGAGATGGCTTGTAAGTCGCTTCACCAGTCGACCAAAGGGCTACAAATCTCTTCTAGAGCAGATACTGAGGACCTGACGAGAGGCAGAGGTAGGCAGTCAGCACAAGGCTGGAGGGGGCAACGACATCCAGACAAGGCAGTGACTAGTGCTGACTGGAGAAGCCTTCACTGTGCCAAGCTACACTAAGCTGCAGGCCAGGAGCAGTAGTTCACCAGGTGACCCCAGTTAAATGTTCCTGGTGAGCTACAAGAAGGGGACAAATGGAAGGAGCTGCTCTGCAGAAAAGCTGGAGGCTACACCACTACCACAGTATCTCAGTGCTTGACAACGGATTTTTCTGAGGCTCTGGTAAGACAAATAGCACTGCTCAGTGCCAGCTTGCAACTTTCAGCTGTGGTCAGAGAAGAAAACAGGTGGAGACCATCAGGAAAAAAGTTTATTTCAGGATCATGCGGGTGTGGAATATTGTCACACTCTTGTGAAGCTTATTAAAACGGTAATGTAACACATTCTACTGAGTGCTCAAGAAAACTTCACAGGGTAGCATACCTGTACCTATACGCTGCATTTACAGCACTGGATAGTAAAAGGAATAGGTTTCTGCATGTATTTGAGTGATCCTATCAAACCTTGCCTATTGGAACACCTCCTTTTAAAGCCAATTGATTAATCAACTATCCACATAGGCAAAATTAGCAATCAATTTATCTACTACTATGCTCAGTACATGATGTTGCTCTGCACTCTCCTTAAATTATCATCATAGTGGGTGTACCCTTATGGTTACAGGGTTATATTTTGGTTCTTAGACTGCTCAGATTCAACGCCAAATGTGAAAATGAATTTAAAAAAAGCTCCAGCAAGTGTCACTAAGGTGTTATATAAGTACTTTTCCTCTACTTTTGGAACACTAGCCATTGAATATTGGTTTAGGTGACCTTGACAACAAAAAAACCCAAACTTTTTTCTAAATCAAGCTTTTTTAAAAAACTAAGAAAATCCCAAATAGCTATTATTTTGTTATGTAAAAGCTCTTTGAAACAACAAACCCTAAGCTTTAATTCATTTTAATACCTCTTTGAAGAAATGTAAATACAAAATCAAAGTAGATGATTTACCATAATCTGCTGTGAAATTTATTATTAAAATACACAAAGGAAAAAAAATCAATCTAAAAATAAAAAACTAAAACGAAATAATCACTTAAATAGACCTCTGCTTACCAGGTATGACAGGAAGAAATTACTTTGTCACCCGGAAAATATTCCTTTCCTTTCCACGAACATGGACATTCATCTGCATTCAAGCACACATCTCCATGTTTAACAAGACTATCAAAAAAAGAAGAAAAAATACACATTCAGCAGCAGTATAGCTGGTATCTAGACACAACAGTATTTTCCTACACTTTAAAATCACTGGCATCATTATTCATGAAAAGCAAATAATATTTTAAAATAACTCCTGAAATTGAGAAGGCATAATTTTATTATTAATTATCTATGAGCAATTTGATACATTCCTTTTACAGGTGCCTGCATATGTTATCTTCACTAAGTACCAGTACTCTGGGCACTAGCACTTTGATCACTAACTCTGTGAAGACTGAACCATTAACAAAAATTTTAAGGTCAGGAAAACTAAGAATTTCTAGAAATCCTTTAAATTTCTCCAAATTTCTTGTAGATCAGCCAATTAACTTGTATTTAACTTAAACCAAGAGATCATTCATGAGATGTGGGAGCCATCATGGCCCTTTGTTCTAGTGGTATATGCTCTTACTATCAAAAATTAGTGGCTTATTTAGTCTATAATGAGGATTATTTAGTCTATAACTGAGGATTTCTTCTGGTTCTCTTCTTTTCTCTACCTGATTTGAAGGGTTATAATTTGCTGCAGAGTTTTTCTGTAGCTGTAGTTACACCTCTTGCTCTGTGAATAATTCAATCAATATCAAAAGAGTTATCCTGGTTGCATGAAATTGAGTGTGTATTTCTGTACAACAGGCACCTTCATGCAGGCAATTACAAATATACTCAATTTTATTGGCAAAAACATCCTTATACCCTTTAAAGGAGATTTTCATAGATAACCATAGGCACACCTATTTACAATTCAAGACTAATGCTATAAATTCTTGCTTATAATCCCAACTCCTAGAGTAACAGCTAAGAACTGAAAATTTAAAAAAAAAAAAAAAAAAAAAAAAAAAAAAAAAAAAAAAAAAAAAAAAAAAAAAAAAAAAAAAAAAATCACCTAGCCACAACTGTTAAAACTGCTTTAATAGAGAAAGAACAGAGGAATTCTTGCCCAGCAAGAGTAAATAAAGCAACTAGTCTAAATTTTAAAGTAAAATGTGTGTAGCTTTTAATAATACCCAGAAAATCTGAAATATGAGAGTATGAAAGTTAAAGAGAGACCTCAAGTGGATTCTGCAAATAAATATCAGGAAATACACCAGAAGTATTGAATTCCTTTATTAAAAAACTATCTTTTTACAGAACCCAAGAAAGATGTGCTTCTTCTATAAAAAAAATAAATATTGTAATGCTACTGCATAGGCAAAAAGACACCAATATAGGGCCTAAAGGTTTAACAACAGATAAAAGAACCTGTGTTATCTCAAACAGATCTGCCAAGTTGTGAAACAAACTCTGGATAAGCTGCAGTAGTGTCTTTCACTCCAACTGCTGTGGCTCCAACTTTTGATCCCGTACAGGACCCTGCTTGATATAACATAATCAGCTGGAACAACTAACATGCCAGTGACATAGTAAAAGGATTCTTAACAGGCACCATACAATCTATGATTATCCTTGTTTCTAACATCTGAAATGTGTCTGTACTGAGAAATAAACAGTCCCTGAAAATGGTACTGTTGGGCTGATACGACCTTTTCTTTTTCGAGCTGTGTTTAGAATTAAAAGGAGTACATTTCGGTAGTGATATAAATTTTATACAGGTTTGCCTATGTTCCTAACAGTTTTCTTAAGAACACAGATTTGGTGTTTCTGACATGTAGTGCTGTAATTTGGGCAAGACACTGCACCACGGGCAAAAAAATCATAGGTTTGAAGCACATGCCTGACAAACAGGGTGATGATACTGTTTTGTTTCTCTCGTATCTAAAAGGAAAGACTCCATCATGGCATTTATCATGGAACATTTTACTTACTCATAATAATGAACTGGTATTTCAGATACTATGACTTAGGCTCCTCTTGAGTGTCTTATTCATCAGACAGAAATCTACAACTCTGTAGTGTTTCTTAATGGGAGAACACTGAACATCATAAAACCCCTCCCCCATTAAACTGAAAAACTATTCTATTCCTCCAGGGTATGTGAATTGTTCTTTGTAATCCTTACTTATTCCAAGTATTGTGTCACTTGGAGACGATCAACTGTGATACTGAAATTCCCACTTGCTTAAAGCTCCTCAGAACTGAACAGGGCACATTCAGGCACAAAGACCTCACACTGACAAGGTAACACTAAAGGCAGTTTTTTCCTCATGTTATTACACTGGATTAAAAAAACCCACGATAACAGCTTTCTCTCTTGTAAAGCCAAGCAAATGGTTAGATTTCCGTGATCTAAGGATTCACCACAGATACCCTACAGAGAGGCCTTGTACAGCTCCTCTTTGAAGTATTTGAAATTTTTCTTGATGGCTATACTTACTGCAAAGACACCAGGACAGCTATCACCCCTCACCACGCTGAACATTCACTTTCATTATTATCTCGTTGTTACCTATAGCTTTCTTCACTCACATACACAAAAACATGTAAATAGTCCTGGAAATAATTATTGGCATCATTAGAAGCAACATGTCACCTGTGAATCACCAAACACTTCTTTGCTTCTGCAAAACACAAAGATCTCAACCAGAACATAAAAAATATCTCTCTCCCAGCTTCCAGCAGAGTAGTTTTCAACAGCTTATGTTTTGCACAGGCTCCTTCCTCTCTCTCAGGCAACAGCCTACTGTCAACTGATTTTTGCAGCTATGAATTCTTTTGCCCCAAGAACAAATTTGCTCTCTGAGGGTTTCACAAATCTTCCCACAAGGGTCTGTAATACAGTTCAAGGGAAGTAAAAAAGAATGAAATAAACAACAGGTAGCATTTCTAATACCAGAATGCCACCACCACCCATGACTTGCCTAACCAGAAAAAAAAAAGACGAACAGATTTTGAAAGAAAAGTAGCTGTTAAGAACATTATTGAAGCACCTACGGGCTTATTTGTAGTTCAGTCACTGTCTAGACAAGGAGAGTTACTATATTCCTGCTGAGTGTTTTCTTTCCTGTTTGGGGAGCTCTTTACAGTCCACCTCTTCTTCCCCTTTCATTATACCAAAATATTAAGCAATCTTGTAGAATGATTGGAAGGTTTTTAGCATCCTTCTCTGTTACTGACTGATTTTGATGCTTTAACTGATGCTGCACTTAAGCAGCTTTCCCCTGGACTGGAAAACTCCTCTGCAATCAGCTCTACCATCAGCACCCTACTGGTGCTAAGCAGAGCAAGCCCTACACAGAAATGATAGTAGCAGCCTAAAGACCAAAGGTACATGAGAGTAAGAAAAACAAGAACAAGAAGCAGAATGACAGGGATTCATCAACCTTTCCCACACAGGCACCGGAAATTTGGCTCATCCATTGCCTGTGCTTCCTCTAAAGTATCCTCAAACAAAAAGAAGTTCTTGCCTTCACACACCTTCTACTGATTGTTGCAGACAGAAAAGAGCAAAGTTATCTCACAAGTGTAATACTTAGAGCTGCGCAAAACATGAGTGTGGGTCTCAATGCAACACCCTGTGTTTCATCCTAATTTTCTTTAAGAATGCTGTGGGTACAATTAGTGCTAAAAATCATGTAAGGCAGGACTTCAGGGGAAACTGAGATACCAAAAATTGGTGTTTGTGAATGGCCAAGAAGACACTATAAGCTGCTCTTAATCTGTCAGCACCAGTTCTTCTGAAAAGAATTGCACGCTTTGGGGGGAGGGGGGATACATGAAGCTATTTTAATTAATTATGCTTTTGGGGAGTTTGTTTCTGTATGTTTGCAGATACAGAACCAAGTATATTCCTTGACTCCAAATACTAAATCCACAGTAAAATAAGATGGTAACTTATGTGTCAGATGACAAATTTCAGTTTTATAGCTAAGCAGTTTTCCACAAAGATGATTTAACCAGAGATGGTGGGACAATAGGCTTAATTATCACTGACAGAAAATAAGAGACCCACAAGAAGTGAAATGCACTAATGGTATTTTAGCAATCATTTTTCTGATATAATTAAGACGTTTAGATAAATAATGCAATTTTGTAATAAAAAAATAATTTCAAAAAGTAACTCCAAAGGTAACAGAAGTCTTCCTTTCAAACTAAGTGACAGAATTCAATGCCTCCCTTCTTAAAAACAAGTCAGAAGACGGAAGTTAATATGAAAAGGTGCTCAAGAATCTGAATGATGATGGTGAAGTTTTACTGTTAATTGAATTGAAGTACAGAAAAAAAAACCCAGAGATTTGTTTGCAGCGACTGTAAACTAGAAAGTAGGCAACTAAGAGGCTTTTGGAAGTATTGAAAGAGGAAATAACAAACACTGAAATGAATCAAAGAAAGCTGAAAGTCCAGGGAAAAGGAGAGGATGGAAAAGAACTGGTTTGTCTTATGATGGCACTGCAATAGGTGTATTCTTTGGAAGTGAGCTCCAATCCAGCACCTTTAGCATGCTGTGATTGTATAACCATCAAAAGTGGAAAACAGCATAAGAGGAAATAATGGAGTGCATAGCTGTGATGGTATTCATGGAGGGTGATTCTTATTTGCCTGGAAAACATTAAATCTTCCTGACAGACCTCTCCAAAACACTTCCTAAAACAGAAGAAGCAAAATATTAACAGTAGTTAGTAGTTAGTAGTAGTTAGCAACAACAGGGTCATCCAGAAGAGAGGTTTGAACAGAACAGAGTTTTTATTTTATGCTAAAAACAATAAATTCTGAGTTTAAATTGAGGAGCAGTAGGCCTTTTGAAAAAGGGTACTAAACACACACCAAAAGAACAGGACTTTGATTTCATCTATGGAAATATATTTTAAGACATAACACAATCAATATAATTACTTCAATAAAAATTAGTTTTCTAAAATATTTGAAACTCAGCTTCATTCTTCCCCCATTATTGGGTTTGCTTGTCCATTGGCATGTGTATAAGATGACAACATTCATTGTTTTCTGTGTGAAAATTAGAAAGTTACAAGGTGTTTGTTTGGTTTTTTGGGTTTTTTGTGGGTTTTTTTGAGAAAACCTTTCAA